GCTCAAAGGCCTGTGTCTTCAGCTCAATGTTCCAATTTGCTAAATTCAAACATCTGGAGGGGAAACAACTGAGCATTAGCATTATCTGGACCCAATTTATATCCAGTTGTCAATTGGCAGGCATGAAAACACAGGGATAATTATAGAGTTTAGGCCTGGCAGTGGACCCTAATGCCGTGTAGTCCACCCGCTAGTCCTAATCAGATCTCAGGCTGCATTTTTCTAATCTGTTTTTGAAGGGCTCCATTGATTTGGAGATTTAGTTATCCTTCCCCTTTGCAACTCATTCTGTTGCAAATTCTCTTCTGAGATGAATGTTCAGATATTCAGTCAGAAGGACTGAGATGGCAACATTTCTGCTTTTTCACAAGTTAAAGCAGAGATGGGAAACGTGTCTTGCTCCAGATATAGCCAGGTCACAAGCCCTATCAGCTCTGCCACAGGCTGGGATGATGAGAACTGAAGACCCAACAAGCGCTTCTGAAGAACCACAGGTTTCTCTCATGGATTTAAAGGCTGTTAAATTCCAACAGGAGAGAAATCATGCCCTCTAGAAATCTGTGTCCATTCGCAGCCTGAATAACGCAAATTCAGTCCATTCTCACTGAAGGTGGACCTGCATGTGCCCATTTCTATTCATTAGTGTATATATATTGCAAAACATCTAAGTTCAGTGCAACAGTCAAGTTATTTACAGTATCTGGAAGCCAAGAGAATTGATTGGCTTGCCCTTGTGGAAGTTATGAGGCCAGCTCTCTCACTTTTCTCAAGATTACAATGTAGCAAGGAAGAGGAAACTCTGTTCCGTGGGGCTATTTTGCATAAAATTGTAAATGAGATTCAGATTGCAAGTTTGGGACAGAATGATCAATCAATAGCATGATAGTATGTTAAAATCTGCTTTGACCAAGTCAACTCATATTTTATTCATACCAAATTAGTAGTTGTACTTGATTTAACATCTCCTTGGGACAAATCCTACAATTTCTGTGCTCACAGTCCTTCCCTCCCTCC